AAGGTCTCAAATTGTTTGGTTCACGGATTCGGACACTTCATTATTGTTTAGAGTTAAAAGGAAAGATGATGCACTAGAACAACCAAATGAAATACTAGATGTTGTGTCCGGCTGGTTTGCTACCAATTACTTCCTTTTGAACTCCACTAAAACAAAATTTCAACGAATCAGGAATCTCTATTGATGAGAAAATCCTGCCCCTTGAGGATTCAACAGCATCTCTTGGAATAAGCGTTGACTCCAAGTTGCAATGGGCATTTCATGTAGATAAGTTAGCTAAGAAATTGAGTGCTGCCGTCTTTGCCATACGCAAGATCAGGCAGCTAACTAACGAGGAAACAGCTTAATTAGTATATTATGCTTATTTGCACAGCATAATGTCTTAGGGCGTCTTACGGGGTTCCGCATCCGATTTAGACACAATATTTGTATTGCAAAAGCTGGCTATATGGGCTGTCTATGGCTCAGGCACTACGGCATTTATTTAAGCAAATAAACGTTTTAACGCTCCCGTCGCTTTACATACTTGAGAACATCATGTATGTACGTAATAATATACACCAATTTACGAAAAAACATTCCACATCGCGTCGAGGCCGTGGTGACACTCTGGAAGTATCGAGGTTTAGACTGGCTAAAACCAGTCTTTTCTTGGTAGATGCATCAAATTTTATAATAAAATAGGTGACATCCACAAACATGGCAAGGGCCTACTATAATATCCAAGAATACATTGAGGACAAGGATGTGAGGAAATGACTCTTGCTCTGCACTTGCAAGACCCCTGGCTGCTGCTGATTTTATACCTAAATAAGTGTGTATAATTGCATCATAAAAAAATAATAATAGAAAGAACAAGACCGCTGATTTTCTTGCCGGATCTTCACTGTTCAGGTCTAGTTTAGTCAACCAGTGGTAGATTTTTTGTTGACGTTCAATATGAGCTTAAGTTAAGCCTATATTGAATAAAAAATAACAGTCAAATCAAATGACTGACTGATATTTTTATTTGTGGTAGGGCCACGCAGCAACCTCAGCTGTTGCACGAATGGGCAGGCTCGTCCGTGTAGGTAAGTTCTACGACCTCACAGAAGACCGGCGTGAAGTGGAAGTATAATACTTTCGCGTTTCGTCTGGTGAGTGAGGTAGCCGGGGACCAATTTTCAAAAGGTTGTCAACGCATCTGGAACCCTTGGGCGTTGCAGATATCCATGGACAGCGGTATTCACTTAACGTCAGGTGAACCGCCTGCCCGCTTGTCAACTTTTGAAATAAAAAAATAGGTCTAATAAGGTCATATTTTTAAGTGGAAGCTTGATTTTGTTACTCTTGTTTGGAATAAGGTTAATTGATGGGGTGTTAATCACATAAAAAATATATTTTTGATAAAATTAAATGACACGTACCTATAACTTTTGTGACTTTCATCAGCATAGCTAAATCAGGTCAACATAGGTTTTTAATTAGAGTTGAAAAGAAAACACATTGATAAATGTTAGATCTAAATTTCAAGTCTTTAAAATTTTAAATATTGTACCTATTTGGACTTGTTGAGTTAGGCATGTCGCCATACAAAAGTGGTCATCGTCTTTTATGCAATATCTCATTGTATGAGAAATGTGTCCCTTGTTGATGACCTTATAGTATTTTAACTTGTTATCATAAGAATTATATAAATATATAAGTGATATAAATATAAAAAAAAACCTTCCACAGATCTCAAAAACCGATAGCATTTACTGCAATGAAGTTCACTAACATCTCCCTTGTGACTTATTCTGCGGTAAGTGGAAATAAAAGAATAATAAACAATTTCATTAAGAGTACAATATTTTTGATAAATACAGGTAACAAAAAGTCTAATAAGGATTTGGACATGACTCAACAAAGTTGTGAAAGAATAATACAAAACATAATTGTATCTATGTAACCCAACTACGTTCCCTACGTACCCAACTACGGTCAAATAGAACAATTTTCCAAATTATGACTACAGCTTATTACTTATGTACATTTAGTGTTTGATCTAAATAAAACTGCTATTAATAAAGGGGTTTCCCAAAGAGGATTAATGGACGGCAAGTGGCCTTTCTTATGAAACCAAGATAAAACCACTAACACCATGATTCACATTTAGTGCTGACACCCCATAAGTGATCCCACTTTACTAAGGAGCAGGAAGATGATGATAATGATAGTAGTGACTTCAAAACATCGAACATCTCAGTACGGTCTGGTAAAGTAAAAAAGTAAAGTATCAGCCTATACATGTCCCACTGCTGGACAAAGGCCTCTTCTGTACAGAGGGTAACAGGGCCAGTCCACCACGCGGCCCCACTGCGGATTGCCGCCAATCCACACTTCACATATCTTCGAAATATTTTTTCAGTCAATTTCAAACAATTTTCAGTCCCATGAGTATATCCCTGTTTGAATTGTAATGATTCTAATAAATCGTTTTATTACAGATTCTCACAAGATCTTATTCTTACTTCGCACTTCTTTATACGATGTACCGTGATAATTAAAGAAAACACCTTTTCCAAATTAATATTTAAATAAAAGGTAGATTCAAAATCTATAGCAAAAATAAACATTTAAATATAATGATAGCAATAATATTTGAAGGCTTTAATCGTAAAAAGTACTAATGATATATAGAATAGTTAGCTAATAGCTATTGCACAATATCGTACTATTTTATTCAGAAGAATCGAGACAATGGATTAAGTTTAGAATATTTTCATTTCAATGCAAGCTTTCCGTGTCTACATTTAGTCTGGTGAGCGCAGATCACCTGAGTCTATGACGCGTGGAGTTATTTCTTTTGGAAATGAATTGTAAGAATTTCAAAATGTTAATTTATTTATAGAAAAATTAAAACTTATCTTAAAGCCTAACTTTTGTGTCGTTTTATTTATATTGTTTGTCCCCTTTGCATACATATCTGTGAATTTCGATAACTTACCTACACACTTTGCAGGACTTTATCCGTATTTCACATTGGTGTAACTCTTTTGGGCTTAAAGTAAATCCATCGAAGACCCAAGGCATTATTGTTGGGAGTATGAAGTTAATTTCTCGTTTAACTTTTTCACAGCTCCGGCCAATCATATTCGGAGGAATAGTTTTCCCTTACAGTGACAAAGTTAATTTGGGAATAATATTTGACCAAACGTTGTCTTGGATGCCGCAAATTAGTGAGCTAAACAGAAATATGCTTATCACAGTTGGCTTACTCTGAAGATTACGTAATGTCTTCCCCATATCTACTAAAGTTGCGCTGGTTTAGTCTCTTTTTCCAACGATCCTTGACTACGCGAACACTTGTGATATGGAGCTAACCGAGGAGCAATTAAATAAACTTGAGCGGCTCCGAAATTACTGCATAAGGTTTATATTTGGGTTGCGAAAGTATGACCACATCTTCCGCGAATCCACCGCGTTTCTACCGCTGCCTCCCGATAATTCTCAACAAAGTATCGAGTAAATTACCGATGTCTTTCGAGGCAATTAGATTATCAAGTGGCGGCATTGATGGTATGACGCCACAACATCTTAAGGATCTTGTAAGCTTGTGGTCGGTGATGGTGGTAGTAAACTTCTTAGTGACATTACAAAACTATGCAACTGAATAATTTCCTGAAAGGTTAATTATAAATTTGTTCCATTTCTTTACAGGGCAAGATTATATGCCTTAAGAAAAAAGGTAATGGAACCCATCGTATCGCTATTCGTTTAACTTTAAATTAGCATGTAGGTATATAATCTCCGGCCTTAAACGAAACCTACCTTTCGAACCTTTTTATCTACTACTGATATTTATATAAATCCATTGATAGGGCGATTTTGCTGAACGGAGTGGTTTACAATACACCAGAAACGTATCATTGTTAGGCAATCATCATCATCATACTTCTGCTCTTATCCCGCCTAGGTGGTTGGCACACACAACATGTGACTCATGTTGTGAACGATTTCGGCTGTATTTTACGGTTGTGATTGTTAGAAAAAAATGAAAGTCTTTTCTCTACAATATTAGAGAAAAGACTATTTCATTTTATGAAAACAATATTACAATATTATAAATTAACAATCGGCGTTCAGCAGGGGGGACCGCTAGGACCAGCGTTATTTTATTAATCCAATTATATAAAAAACTTAAATTTAAACTTAATGCCTGTCACCTAGATGTTGGTGTGTTTGGCTAAAAAAAAAGAACTGTAAATGTGATGAAGGCAAATCGAATATTGCCGGTCGGAAATAGTTCAGTTTTTTATAAGATCTATAAGGAAGGAATAAAAATAAATTAAACACTTTAGACTCAATTCACACCAAGACGGCAGCGGAAAATCTTAGATACACAGCGTTTTGTTAAAAAGTTCAATCCATCAAGCAATACTCTGATTATTTTATTGTTCAAAATGGGCTCCCCAATACCACTTTTCAGGCATCTTCAAAAAAGGAGGTGGTTTCAAATGCACATATGCAAAAATACACTGATGCACCGATTTAAAAAAAAACTGTTTTGCATTATATTCGATTTAGTTCCTATGTGGTTCCTATTGATTTCATTGGATATTCGCTGGTTAGTTTCGGCTAAAGATATGCTCAAACTCAAAATGAGTTAGATATTTGAAAAAGTTTTTTTGTTAAATGAAAAAATGTTATTCAGGATGGTACCTATACTATATAATACGTGATAATCTGGCGCTGCCGTATCGGTGCGAATCGACCCTTAATTTCGATCGCGATCTTTATTCCCGCCGAACCGCCGCGTCACGCGACGCACCTCCGTTGCCGCCGAACCACCGCGTCAGGCATCGCATTCCCGTTGCCGCGTCACGTGACACGTCTCCGTTATGGCGTGGCGGCCGCATCACGCGACATGTCTCCGTTCTGGCGTAGCGGCCGCGTCACGCGACACGTCTGCGTTCCGGTGCGTCGGCCGTGTCACGCGTCACGTGACACGTCTCCGGTCCCGCGCGACGGCCGCGTCACGCGACGTACTGGTTGGTGAGCGCGCGCAGCAGCCTGGCGCGGCGCACGGCGGCCGCCTCGCGCTGTATGTCCTCGCTGTTGTTCGCGTTCAGCTCGAGAGCGCCGGCGGCCTTGACGGCTCGCGCCCGCCGGCCGCCCTCGCCGCGCCGCGCGTGCAGCGCCACCGCCACCTCGAGCAGCGTGCCGTCCCACAGGCAGCCGTAGTACGCGTCCATCGCGTCCGCGGCGTTGCCGGTCTGACGGGTTTCATTTGTTCGTTTGTTTATACGTGATGGAATGTAGTCCGATGATAGTGATGTTGTATTAGGGATATTTAGATGAGCCCCATTATTCGACTGCGTTGACAATTTTTAATAAAATGGGCTTCGGTTATCTGTCACCAGAGGAAACGTAACACATCCACTTCACGTCGGTTTTCTGTGAGGTCGTAGTACTTACCCGGACGGACCTGCCCATTCGTATAACAGTCGAAGCTGTAGCATGGCCTACCACCAATACCAGTAATAGAGATGTTATATTAGGATCATATTACTCTATATTCGTTTACCGTAATACGAATATACGTGGTAATTAATATCTGTATAATACCTGTAACTGTTACGAATATAGTCACTGCATTATTCACTACCCGGTCCGCAAAGAAAAGAAAAGCGTATCCTACTGACATGTGAATGTGCAGACAGCGACGTGTGCCAAAGTCATATTATTCCATACCGGACGAAGCACTATGATGTGAAAGAAATCATTCTGTTCCTATTTATAACACGGTATTTCTACGGTCGAGCCGGCCAATTCCCGTGCATGAACTTACTACAGATACAACACACAAATCCGAAAAAGCTGTAAAATAAATTAAAGGAACAGCCTACATGCAGAGCAAAGGCCTTCTCTGTACCAAAGGTTTGAAGATTTTTTAAATTTTACGTTATTGTTTTGGTAGTATGCATATTTCGTCACGATGTTTTCACCGCTGAGCCCATGATAATGATAAGTCAGCACTTAAATTTAACAATTATTGTGTCAACTGAAAGGAAAAAGAAGTAAAGCGACTCTTGCTGAGACACGATTGCAGACCAACGACGTCGTCAAGTTCGAACTGGCCGGTTTGAAAAAAAAAATGTCTAAATACTTCTCGCACCTTCTCGGCGAGGCACTTGAAGGCGGCGGCGTAGTCCGGCTCGTCGGGCAGCTGGCACAGGGCTGCCGCCTGCGTGGGCGCCGCGAGCGCCTGGCAGCAGCGCGCCGCCCTGCGCGCCACGGCGCCCTCGTCTGGCGCTCGCTTCGCGAAGTGCCACGAGCCGGCCGCGAGCGCACACAGGTAGCGGCGCAGCGCCGCGCCCCACCGGCCCGCGCACATCTCCACGTCGCCGTACAGCCGCAGCCTGGCGGTTCCGCCTCGTTAGTAGGGTTGTCGAAAGTAATAATAATAATAATTTAGTCATCAACCAGTACCAAAAGAAATTTACCATCATATTCGAATGTGCGGACATCCGCTACACCCGAGGGTTGTGGATGCGTTGTACGAGCCAGCCCATTCGTGCAACAGCCAAGGCTGCTGCATGGCCTTACCACCGTTAAGCTACTTACTTAAAGGTTGTCACGGTGTTGAATGTTATTATGTAATCTAATATAAGGAAATACGATTGCTAACACATAAAGGCGAACAAGTGGCTTTTAGAGGTTTTCTACACTGATTTTAATCATTTACTGCAATCTTTTCTAATGGAAAATACTGAAAAACGGACAAAAATCTAACATAGCTACGAGAATAGAAATCACACACATTGAAATTCGTACGACTAAGAAAACAGAACGGCGCGCGTCTCACCACGACGTGTTGTAAGGGTACAGCTTCAGACTCCTCTCGAGGAGGTCCGTGAGGGACTCGATTATGTGGCGCGTGCTGTAGTTGTTCATGTTGGAGACGCTCGACGGCCAGAGGTTGGTGTACTCGACGACGAGCTCCGTCGAGCTATCGTCCACCAGCACGTTGTGGATGCGCGCGAGGAGCGAGAGCATCACGCCGATGGCGAGAGGCTCGCGCAGGGTTGCCAGGAAGCCGTTGAACGCCGACCTGGAGTCGGCCGAGGCGGTCGGGGCATCCCTCGAGTGCGCGGGAAGACCGCCGGCGTTCCGCTTCACCGGCGCACCGGTCCCGTTGCAGAACACCGACAGCGCTGTAACACAGCTCGTTTGAAACACTCGCTGATACCCGCGACTCCAAATAGACTTTAAATTACTGTCTACCACGCTTGTGTTATGAACCGCATTATAATTTCTCATTATTCTATTTAAAGGAGAAAATTGTCCTAACTTTGAGCGTGCTGTCTTTAAATTAAATGGAGTATATTTCAATGGTCTTGGCAATCCACTAGGTATAGACAAGTTTAACTGAGATATTAAGTATGTATCCTCAATTTGCCCATTTACCAGTTTATAAAGAAACGTGGAGTCAAGCAGCTTTCGTCGACAGAAAAGGGATTGTAAGCCAAAGTGTCTTAAGCGTTCTTCATAGCTCATAAGTGTTTTTGCCAGATGGCAACTGTATGATAAGTGCCATAAAAACCTTTTCTGAACACTCTCTAAGCGATTTACATATACACTGTAATGCGGGTTCCACACAGTACTGCAATACTCTAAACTACTTCGTACTAATGCATTGTAAATAGCTATTTTAGTGTCAGGTTTCTTAAATTCTCTGCAATTCCGCAAAACAAAACCCAACTTTTTAAAACCTCTTTTAACGATTGTATCGATGTGAATATTAAATCTTAGCTTGTTATCGAGAACAATGCCTAAATCGCGTATGTTAACCGCCTCAGTGAGTGGCTCACCGTTTACGCAATATGTTACGCTAGGCAAATTTTTTTTCCTAGAAAAGTGTACCACGCAACATTTTCTAATATTTAAACTCATACAGTTTGTTTTGCACCATGAGACTAGATTATTTAAATCCTCAAGCAGTAACACACCTTCCTGAGTGGAATTTACTGTTCTATAAAACTTTAAGTCATCAGCAAACATGTAGAATTTGGAGTTGTGGAAACATGTTCCTATGTCGTTAATGAAACAGTTGAACAGCAGAGGGCCCAGATTAGAACCTTGGGGAACACCAGATAGTACTGTAAAAGGCACAGAACTATGACCACTCATTACGACTGTCGATTTTCTACTTTTTAGGTAGGCCCTAAACCAGCTTAGTAAGCTGCCAGATATTCCAAGTAACGAGAGTTTGGCGATCAGTAATTCATGATTCACTCTATCGAAAGCCTTACTGAAGTCAGTGTATATAACGTCTATTGAGTTTCCGCTGTCTACTGCCTCAGTAAGGTCCCCGATGAAGGATATGAGATTTGTTGAAGTAGAGCGTCCTTTGACAAATCCATGTTGTTCCGAAACAATAAGATGTTTTAAATGCCACGATAATACAGGACACAACATGGATTCGAAAACTTTAGCAAAAACTGAGATTATAGAAATAAGCCTATAATTTTTGACAGAACTGGCATCACCACTTTTAAATAAATGTATAACGAGTGCATCTTTCCAAGCTGTCGGGAAAATACCAGTATTTAGAGATTTATTGTATAATTTTTTTAATTGGTTGTCTGTATAATACATGCTCATTATGAATAGAGGTGAGATGCGCATGTCACTGAAAAATCGTTGCTTTTTAAAACTTTAATATCTTATTTATATTAAATTAAGGTATCACATGTTTTTAGATAAGTTACAATTATAATTGATTGAAATACATTCAGTAATTCTTGCGTGATGTGCACAACGCAGACGTCCATCATTTAATTTATATAGATCTTCAAGAAACCAACTTCAACAAGGAAGGTTGTTCAGTGGTCGTGTCCATTAATTACCGTAGTCCCACAACGGTCTGGGGAATTTTCTGGTGGCCTTGCCGCGTTGCAGCTCCAGGCACGCGGCGCAGAGCGCGGCGGCCGTCTCCCCCGCGCCCCCCGCCGGTACCGCCCCCGCCCCCTCCCACTCGCATGCGTTCACCAAACACGTCCAGCACGCCTCAACCACCTGGCACCGAGCAACAACAGCATTAAAGACAGAAAGAAACGAAGTAAGGCTTTTTTTAGGCTTGTACTCTTATTGAATTTCAAAAAACCAAACTACCACCATACAACCTAATACCTACCTGTGGACGGGGCGCGATGCCGTCGCCCGAGGACGCGGCTGCGATGCACGCCTTGCACTTATTCGCCAGCGCCGTCAAATTGAGCCGGTGGTGAGGCCACTCGGTGAGCATCACGTTCACTTGCAAGTAGAGCACCTCCCAAGAGAGCAGCCGGCAGAGCCTGTACAGAGTCGGGTCCGAACCACCGCCGAGTTGGCTGCGCGCTTCGCCCTCCAGCACCGAAAGCAAGGAGAGCGCTGCACGCGAGCAGCCGGCCTCCGCCCTGGCGCGCGCTGCACCAGACACCACGTAGCCGAAGTCCTGGAGGAAGCCACGCGGCAGCGCCACCAGCGCTGCACCGAGAGTCCCCGCCGGCTTCCAGGACGGGCTCAGCTTCCACAGCGGCGAGGAGGGGGACATCATCGCCAGTTTCACGAGGCACATGCGCACGTCGTCGGCCGTCGAGGCCTCTATTAAGCGCTTCTTGAGCCTACCCATCTCCAACTCGGGAACAGTCTTGAACTCGAAGTCAGGCGTTTCCCAATCCTCGGTGAGCAGCTCCCGGGGCACGTCGATATTCTCGTCGTCGACGTTCAGCGGATCGTTGAGCACTCTCTGCAGGTTTTTGTCGGATATCAACTTCCTCCTTATCCTCTCGCTGGATTCGCCAACATACTTCTTCAGGTATTCGTCTAACCTTTCAATCGGCAGCTTACATTGGGATGTTGCCAGATGTAAAAAGAATATACCCAGTTTGTTCCAATCGTCTTCGGACAAATCGGACAGTAAGACGGGGCCCATAGCCCAAAATAGCAAATCGAAGAACTTTATGCCGACTGTTTTGAATTTGTTTAAGAAATCTGGATGCGTTGACGGTATTCCCCCTTCCAAAGCGTACCGCACGGCATTCAGTACAGAGACTCTGTTAAGAAGATCTCTAGCAACCGTAAATGCCCCACTTGAAGCAGAACCTTGTATGTCTAGTTCTACTACTTCTCTATGTATAATCGGGATTTCCCTGGTTAAATTGTCGGCTTGCAGTATACCTATAATCCCCGTGTAATGATTGGCGATAGACTCCTGAAGTTTTTGCAGGAGAGTGGGTTCCTCATTTAATAAGTCATAACCCAAATTGAGTGCTCTTATGTATCCCAATATATCGTCATTCTTCATGCTCGCATAATTGAACTTATTCCATGGCATTACTTTATGAGTACCGTAGCCGTGAATAGATATTTCCCTTTCGAGAAGGTTGGCGTTTTCCCTGCACCCCAGTATGTGCTTCTTGGCCATATCATGCTGTCCATAAAAGAAATAATTGCAGCACAAATCAAAATGGATTTGCATAGCCAGCTCATATTGGCTCATAACAATATCTCCAGCATTCCAGTTATGGTTCATATCATTACTATCTTCTGTCAAGTGGATAAATGTTTCCATAACGGGTATCTTAATTTTTTTAGATCCTCTTGTACTACTATTAGGAAACAGTTCATAATCAGTTAGGACTCCTTCCAAATATTTTATACTTTGTAAACGGGAGGTATCACACATTCTTAGTATCTTTTCGAAGTTTTGATTCATGGGACTGTATCCACTATCTGTTTGCATACCTGGCCTAAAACCGTTTAAACATTTAATAAATTTTATATTAAAAAAAACTTATATTATTTTAGAACTAGTTAAGTCAAGCAACTATTGTATAAAATCATAGTTGAAGCTCACTTTCTAGAAACTTTCTTACTTCATAAACAAAATAAATTATTTGCTGTTTTGTGTTATACTTTACTTTTATTAATTGCTTATGTAATTATATAGAGAGGCTTTTTTAAAGGTGCCCAAATTTACACAGGAGGTTCAGACTCGGAAGTATAACTGTTTATTGAAATAAAATTAAACTTTTTTTCTTAAAAAAATTACCATTCTATTCCCTAAAAAACAGAACTTGTTGACAACGCGGTAGTCATTCATAAATACCTAAATTTTACTGTTCATGTACACAAACAAACTTGTGTGCGTGTTAGTTATGAATGATCGCGCGTAAAATAAATGAGTTGTGTATAAATCACGCACTTTTTGAGATAAGTTCAAATGAATGTAATTAATTTATTTATCATTTTTTATATAAAAATATTTATTTCTAGAATTTAATAAAAAAATGGATACACTTAGAAAAGTCTCCCCGTATAAATTTATAATATGTAAAAATAAAGTATGTGCGTACTTATGTACGCATGTAAGAAGTTATACCTCTATAGAGTAACAAAAGAAAAATTACTAAAAATTTTATCTGTTGTGCCAATACTCTGTTTGTGAAATGTAATTTTTAATGGTCTCAATAATATAGAAGCATAGGTAAAAATGTCAAAACATTGTTAATGGTTGCCATGGTTGCACTATGAAGTGGGTGTCGCACATCATAGACATTGTGAGAGAGGCTTATGTTCAGCAGTAGACTTTGACGGGCTGAAATGATGATGATTAATCATAGAAATTCATTCTCCTCATTTGTTCCAACACGTCAAATGATTATAACTTCAAAAAATACTTTCTAGCAACTACTCACATATGTAAAAAGGACACTTTTGTTGATTTAGCATACAACGCAGCCTTTACTGGAAAACGTAGAACCCATCTGTGATATAATGTTAATGCAAATTGCACTTGGGGCTTTTGCAGTAGGTCACACGGTATATCCTAAAACCATAAAGGATGTTATTACATTTTTATCATATTCACAGATATTTTAGTAACAGACATTTATCAATTGTGCACATCCCAGGGGATATTTATTGTAATGAAAAGTTGTTGTGATTTTAGATCAGTGTGTTTTATAATCATGAAGATTTAACATAAATAAAATAAATCTTTATTTCATCACTACTTGGTCAATCATAAAATTTATATTGTCACACAAAAAAGTAAAGTACAGTAATAGCCTATACATGTCCCACTGCTGAGCAAAGGCCTCCTCTATACAGAGGGTATCAGGGCATAGTCTACCACGCGGCCCCACTGCGGATTGGCGGACTTTACTTATCGTCAAAATATATTTTTTTGTTAAGAAATAGAAACAGCTGACATAAATGTGTTGTAATGATTTTGTTTGAAGTAAATACTAAAAGATTCAGGATCTATATTTACCTGTGGAGGTACAGCAAATATAGTATTGGTAGCCATGTAAACAAGGTCTTGCATCAGCTGTTGTTGTACTTGAGGAGCTAGTTTTATTTCGAAGATATCTAAAATAAATAAGTTTCATTACTAGAACATTTTCTAATAGTTAAATTAGAAAAGAGAGTAATCAGTTATTTTCTGTTTATAAGTTTAATATTTTTGGTTGCACAGTAGCAAAGTTTTGACATTTAAAAGAAGTTATTAATTATTTACCTAAGTTCCAATGCAGTGTTGAAGCAACCTTAAGAGCAAGAATCTTTAAAGCAAGCTGTTTTCGTGTAAATTGAAGAGACTGTGTAGATACCACTGGTGGGCTAGGTGGGCCATCCACATCTACAACTCTATCAGCTGCAGCTTTAGCTGCAGCTTGTTTGGCATCAACAGATAAAAATTCTTCAATGAGTTCACATGCTGAGGGATCTGTGGACATTAAAAAAGTCTTGTGAACTAGTCTAGTCTTGTTTTGTCTTATTGCATTATTGTGGATTTAAAGTGTACACTAATGATTTTTGGACTCATTGTACTCCAAATTACCAAAAGGTATTTTTTCTAACTTATCTTTTTCGTAAGTTGAAATTGGCTAATGAATTGGTGGTTTTCCTAATAATAAGTGATTACCGCCACTTATGGGAAAATGACAACTGACAGGTTGCAGATGCTTTACCAAAATAAAAAGTAATAGTTTCAGATTCATTGTGTGTCATTCATCATATTCTTTATTTGTCTTACTATAACTTTAATATAATCATCAAAAGAGTAAAGAATAATCAGATATCGGTGAACATGCAATACATAGCCTTAATTAAAATTTATTAAAGTATGTGTAAGGCAAAATATAGAGTTAAATATTATAAAAAATATAGCGTTAAAAATACTTTTATAATAAAAAAAAACTTAAAGTAATAGCATATAATAAGCATAACGTTTAAACTGACCTGGATTTGTTTTGCTTAGGTGTTTTTTTAATAGGGTAGGATCAAGCAAAAATTCAAACCAAAGAATAGTGTCCGGGGAAATGGGCACCGTGCCTGGCCTTAAAAGATCAACATCCATGGTCTTCAAGAATTAATCATTTAATTAAAGATGCTATAAAAATTAGATTTTTTTAATGGATGAATATAAAATTAATAGAATAGCACTGTTCGGTTCAATGATTTATATTCATTGCATTTATTTTAGCAGATTATACAAATTAACTAATTTAAGGAGCAAATGAAAATTTATTAACATCAAATACCAAAATAAATAAATAATTTAAGGTTATGTTTTATGTATGTAATATGTATGCTGCTTCTAGCTTCTAGTTTTGTATGCAGTGTGACCAGATTTCATTTGACGGATCTACTGTTTGTCGAGGTTAAAAACTACTGAATTCTACCAAAAGAGAACGAGAAAATACTAATAATGTAGTATATTTTTTGCTGTCGTGTTCAAACCTAAAAACATTAATGTTTTCTTGATTAAACAATAAAGTAATAAAAATAACAAAGAAACTACCATAAGTAAAGAAACCAATTTTTTTAAGTTAAATTCTTAATAAAAATATAATTAAAAAAATAAAATTAAACTTAAAGTTAAGATTCTTCGTCTTTATGTTGGGTAACATTGTCATAAAGCTGTTTTGAGTCCATTAACTTGATCATACTTCTGTCAGGATCAAATCTCCTACATCCTCCTTCCAACTGATCCCTCGTAACCCTTCTTTTCTATGCATTATTGCATGCAACATTCTTATTATTAAATCGATTTCGATCTTGATTGATCTAATCCTATTAATATCGGAAAATATACTTCTTCGGCGTTTGACAAAGTCATTTGCTTCACAAATCGGGACAAATTGCCGTACTTTGGTTTGCTATTAACATCACAGATTTGGCTGACTTCACTCCAATATAAAAGTTTATCCACCATAAAAGTTTCAGACATCTAACTAGCAGTTGACAGTAATTTTTTTTAACATAATACGGGTTCACACTCCTGCGTAAGTTGAAAGAACTTAAAAAAGTATTAAAAAGAATAATTAACTAAGAATTACATTCCACATATTAACGTTTGTAACTTGCATACGAAATGCCGGAATATCCTTTCATATTTTTGATATTCTTTGATGTAGCCATGTGTTCCTTCAACGACGCCAGTTTACTTAGCACTTCACAGTTGCATGCTTTACAATGAGCACTCGTAATGTATACCTTAGATTTACAAACCAATTTTTTAATGAGGGATATTGCTCCCATTCATCGCGATATCCTTGTGTATATTTACGTTTCATTTTAAACTCTGTTATAAAAATTCTCAATAAAGGAATTCCAACTAGTCTATCACACTCTATGCTCACGGCACTAATGGTAACGAAAAGAATGAAAATTAAATAGTTACAATCCATTCAATGTAAGGGGAAATACCCCGCATTTATCCGATAAGCCAAAAAAGTACAAGAATAACTGAAAAGCGTGATTTCTACTAAAATATACTAAATAATTTTTCAAACTAAATTCTATTGTCAGTACCTCAAAGTCTACCAAAAAAGTAGAAATCTTCTAAATCTGGTCACGCTGTTTGTATGAGATTATGAGAATTAGGCATGGCATGGGCAAATAATATCGATATGTCGAAATATCTATATTTTTCTATACAATTATCGATATTTTTAATTGTAATAAATTGACATTTGATATTTATATTAGAGCATCGAATTCACGTGAGTTTCGATATTTTTTTAACTTTGGTTTCGTGTTTAATGTTACTTGATTCCCCTTGCATGCTACTAGCGCATCGTTAATTTTTAAAAATTCCGCCACAATTTTTATGAAATGCAATATAACAGTAAGACTACTAGCCGCATGCACGAAAATACCAATACTATTAAACCATCAGTGTGAGACGAATATAATATAAGACCCTGAAGTTAATAAATAACAGACAATCAAAACTTTTCGGTTTTTTTGTACAGGGTGGCTTTTATATGTGTACCCATTTTTTTATTACATTCTATACATGAATAATGTTATATAAAAATGATAAATATTTTAAATCACTCGTAAGTAATTGATTACATTCATTTGAAATTATCTCAAAAAGTGCGTGATTTATACGTAACTCATTTATTTTACGCGCGATCATTCATAACTAACACGTACACAAGTTTGTTTGTGTGCGTGAACAGTAAAATTTAGGTATTTATGAATGACTACCGCATTGTCAACACGTTCTGTTTTTTAGGGAATAGAATGGCATATTTTTTATTTCAATAACCGAGATTATACTACCGAGTTTGAACCTCCTGTGTAAATGTGGGCACTTCTCAAAAAATCTCCCTGTATAAATCAACTATTTTCTTCGTTTCGAAATATCGATATCTTTGCTAGATAATTATTAATACTGTTTATAAATGTCGATACGATAAATATCACTATATTTTTATATTTCCCATAAAAAAATCGATATAAAGTGGTTGATGTTTGTCTAGAATCGATGTCAATAACATTTTTATTTTGCGTTAAAGCTCACTTTCACCTATAGGTCAATATAATGCTTACGGTCTTTGACAATGAGGAATTTAATAAATTTTACTTAGTAAACTGGCTTTTGAAATAAAATTGAGGTAGTCGGTAGTATTACACAAATAGGGCTCCTTAAGATCGTTATAAATTTATTCATTTATGAAAGTTAGCTGTCTTAATTTAAATTCATAATGTTAATTTAGTACTACATTTACTAGTATTTTCCAGCGAACGTGAATTTTATAAAGATTATTGTTTCGGCTTTACTTATAAAAGAGTATAATCCTTCTATTCTACTTATCCGTTCTTTTATATATTCAAAAATAAAATATCAAAATATTGATATGACTAGTAAGAACAATACAATATGTATAGTAAATGCAATTTTTTAGCATCGTCCCAACTCTAAAAATGTCACTGGTATGTCCTCGAGACCATTTTTGTTCCGATTTACGTAACGAAATAATTATTACTTCATACTTTATAATTTAATTGGAGTACGGAAATAATTGGATTTTATTCTGTTTCATAAATTAATTGTTAAAGCTATTGTCAATCAGCAATTTTTGTGAACATTCGTGATATTTATTGCAGGGTTTACTGAATTTATTTAGCAACATTAACATTAACACGACCATCTATTAACATGCATCCTTAGAGGTATGGTCTTATATAATATTTTTAGGAGTCAGTATAGGAGATGATTAGTAGGATTAGGAAAGTTTACACTCTTTTTTAACAGCTAATTGAGATAAAATTTCCCGTGGCATTTATGGTCATAATCTTTAATAACTTTTTTTTTATTTAATGTAATACTTAAAATTCAATAATTAACTCATTTGTGAACATGGATACCGATATAATCTGTCGATGTTTAGAAGGAAACCCACATAGAAACAGGATTCGAACCGGAATGAAGCAGTTAGAGGAACAACCGAAAATTATAAACGATATGCTTCTCTATTTCCTTTAAAATAATGGACTTAATCACAAAACCTGACTTGTAATATGAAAATACTAACAATTTATTTATTTTTAATAATTGTAATTTTTACTTCATACACTACAGTTAGGAGAACTTGTAACACATTTAGCGTTATCTATCTAAGCATTCGATAACCAATAGATACCGCGTTTTTCCGATATCTCGACTGGATATAGTTTATAGTATTATATACAATACAGAAGTCCCTTCTTATTTGTGCCGTTTAGTTGTACTTAAAAAATAAATTAAAAAACTCTGGCCCCTTTTTGCTTTTGTTAAATAATTACGGTAAAACTGTTAAACACAATCGTTTATTTCATCTTCTTGAGTGATTAAATCATCAGTAAGTAAAACAATAAAACTACTAGAAAATCCTTTCTATTTCGGAATAGAAATTGAAAAGCTTTATTTAAATTGAGCTAAACTTATAATTATGTGGCTGGTCTTTGCGTACCTATCTTTTAAATTTACTTATATCATTGAGTAAGGTCAGATCTCCGTAAATCACTCAAGGTAAAATCTTCGCGGTAATGCTATCAATGTTTTCTGCTTTTGTGATCCTTACTGGATATCAAAACTTTATATACATGCTACCTATTAAAAATCGTAACAATTTAAAAAACGAAATTAATATTTCATTCTTTTGTCCGATCTGATTTAAAAATACAACTATTTTTATATATTATGAAAAACAAGTAGAAATAAGTCTCTTCTCGTTTTTCATCTGGCTTGTTTAGTCTGAAAGTGGTAAACAGGTGGTGAGTCCTATCGTACTTAATTAAGTTTGCTCTTAAGAACTAATTATGTTATATAAATGAAAATCCACTGGGTACGTGGCATTTATTTACAAAAGCTATTGAGCATAAATGGTCACTGACTTCTTTTTACCCGTATATTAAAGAGTTACTGATTTTGTATTGATTCTTCTAGTGGATTCAAATTCATATCAGCAGATCCAACAAAGCAACAACGATGTGTGCATCGAAATGGATTTATTGAGAGTTGGGTCTGAACCTGTAGGAATGCGGTGTCCCCATTGTCAGGAGGACGTAATGACCAGAGCGGCCTATAAGAACACAACGATAACACACTTCATGGCTATTCTTCTAGGAGTATTGTTCTGGTGAGTTTCCATTTGGGTGCTTCAATCTGTATCCTTTCATGTTACATTGATCAGTTTGTATTATCAACCCTTATACTTTTTAATCAATTTCAAAACGTCACCGCAACCTTGGGAACATTTCCGTCGTGTGTGTGCTTTGGCCCCTAACGGCACCATTAAAGACCCAAATTCGGAATAACTACTTTTGGGTTACACAGATTTTGTCCTCTTCTAACCCACAAAAGTTGGTGCTAGCAATATGACCACTTTAATTATTGCGCCATTCGACTAGTTTACAATTCAAGATCTCAAACACATCGAAAGGTTCTCGTGATAAAACAAAAATTACAGTCAATTTCATTGATGTGTAATTATTAGGTACTAAGTTATTTGTTCTACAATGGTGTATATATTTACACTGTGGTAGGGCTTAACTGCAGCTTCTGTTGGACGAATGGGTTGTTTCGTCCGGGGAAGTACCGCGGAAGTTTCACAGAAGAAAAGGAAGTATTTTATTTCGCGTTTAGTCTGGTGAGTTAGGTCAACGGGGTCCAAAATTTTAATGGTGATGGCACAGTGCTAGGTCACCATCACTGTTTTTAAACGACTTCATTTGAATACTTCAGTTTACTACTTACTACTTATGAAAAGTCTTCTCTGTCTCAAACAACTTAATTATTGTGATTAATATAATACCGTCGATATTTTGACAATCTATGAAACGGCACCTTTTATTGTTAACTATACATTATTTTATTTTCCGAATAATTTATTAATTAGTCGTCTCTTTCCAACATCGGCCATTTCCATTTCGGCCAACATCCACCTATTTTTAAAGTAGAAGTAGTACTTTCTCTCACACCGAGGTGTCGTCGTAGAAACGGACTTGGCTTGTTGAGTTCACACTTCAGTCCGCTGCGCCGTTTTTATCATGGAAGGGAAACTTAATGGTTACTCAAAGTCCGCCATGAGAGTTGAGGCGGGTTTTATGAGTGATACGTAGCGTCTCGTTATTCGTTCGCTATGCAGGTTCCATGATTGTGTTATCTCAATTGAGTACCAAGTAAATCTCCTGGCACTTGAGTGGGGACGCTAAATATAGAGTTCGAGAAAAATTTTAGCAGGCTACTACTTCGAAATAGCAAACAAAATAAAATCAAATAATAATAGAGAACTATAAAGAAAAGTCACAAAGATCCGACACCAAGCACGCTGGCTCCATGTGGTCTTGTGGTCCCTAGAGTGAACATAAAAAAGAGGGAGCCAGGATCGTGCATCAGAGGTCAAGAGCGACATAGAGAGAGTTCTGGCGATGCTCATGGAAGAGTCAAAATTATTTGTTACTGATTTTTTTCTATCATTCATTTTTTTTGTTTGCTATATTATTTTAGTACAAACTAGCGAAAGCTTGATCTCCTCTGATTGTAACTGTGAAGACGATGACGGATGGCTTTTAATATATAATAATGTTATAATTAGTGAATTATTGATTTAAAAAAATCATGCAAAACGCTGGAGTATAAAGCACTATTTTCGTGTATTATTCATGATACTTAATTTAAAAAATATTCTTCGAAGGAAATAATAAAATATTTTTGAATTTCAGGTGGCTATGTTGTTGTTTAGTACCATACTACGTAAGAAGATGGAAGAACGTTGAGCATTATTGTCCCAACTGTCAAAGATTTCTCGGAGTGTACACCAGGAAAACTATAATTTAGAAAATTGTAGTATTTTTGTTTCAGCTTTAATACTTACCAAATCGATAGTAAAAGTAGGTAACTCAAATAATAGATTTATGTTATAGTTAAATCCGTTTACAAAACGATAAGTTTAGTTTTGTATATGTTTAAGGAACTTTTATTTTTATGAATATAAAATACTGATAATTGTTAACGTAGAATATTTTATCACATAGGTTTTTGGTGTACATATTTTTTTTGTATTTGGCATTTAAATTGTGAACCTTAAAATGTTGAATACAGTGGGCATTTTTTAAAACTATATAGGTAAAATGAAATGATTAATGATAAAAAAAAACATTGAGTCATTGTGTATATATTTTTATTACGATATAAGTACAATTAAATACAGAAACACAATGTAAAAACTCTAGTTTCCATTTTCTAATAATTTTATTTTAAATTCGAACCAGAAACATATCACAGGTTTTTTTTTCGAAGATTTTTTTCTTCAAGTACAACTTTTGTTTCGCGCGTAGACCAGATGGCCCGTTTAGTTTTAGTTTTATTCAATTGTTTATACAGAAATTAGGTTCAATGATTAATATATTTTAAATCCTTATTTTCTATCAGATAAAGCACCTATTCCTTTAACTTTAATTGTAAATAAAAAGTGATGATATACGTATGCTTTTTCAATTGATGATTTTTTTTACAATTTCAATTTTCGCTAGTGCCTAATTGTGGAAATTACTAACACAGTTTGGCATTAAATGTTATCATTAGTGAAGTTTTTGTTTCCGCTGACGTGCCACTCCAATCGAAATTTTTGGGGAGCGGTATTACTAATTTATTTGTATAGTCTATAAATAATATAATTGAAAACTCATGATGGGGTGTACGTGCCAATGAACGCCCTACATTTAGGGCAAAAGTGATTTGCGGCTTTGCACGACCTCATGCAGTATGGAATGAAGCAACCGCAACAGCATCTGTGAAGAACGACACTTGTTTTTAACAGAACTGAATATACACAATAGAAAAAAAAAATTAAATAATATAAAAGGACGGAAACAGAAAAACGCTAAAAACTTTATTGAATATATCAACATAATTATATTATTTATTATATACATAAACATATAGTACCTGGAGGACCGGGTGCATAGTAAAATGCCCTTAAGGCACAAACTACTGTTATATAAAGCTTGCGTAAGGCCAATCATGTCCTACGCATGCATGATCTTCGCACATATAAATCCTACGCGCATTAACAAATTGCAAGTAGTTCAAAGTAAGTTTATCCGCCGCGCAACCGGTGCGCAATGGTATCAGCGCAACGTCGACCTGCACAGCGATTGCAGACTCCCGACGATTCGCGCACATTTTAAAGATTTGACAAAACGGTTCTTCGATAGAGCCCAGCATCATCCCAACCCTCTGGTGGTAAGCGCAGCAAACTACCAACCGGACAAAAACGCGAACGTAAACAAGCGTCGCCCGCGAAACGTCCTCATCGACCCGGTCGACGGAGAGGACTTAGATACGATGGACCCACCGCCGGGGGTCCCGCCGGATAACACTACACCCACAGTTAGTGTAACAACAATCACACCAGTTCGCCCTCGCCTCCGAGCACGGCGAGACCCACACAACGCGTACACAAGGTACACCCGCGTTCCGGGGCGGTTCTCACCGCTCCCAGCCACCGATTAGCTAAATGCACAGTCGACGGCCGTCGGGGTCTCGGTCCGAACCGGCGACCTCGATGGCCCTTAGATGACACACCATAGCGGAGGGTCCAAACCCGTGGGTTCTGGCTAGCCCACCGGTTCTGCGTCCGATGAAGCTTTAATAGTCTCGGGACTGAAAGCAAAAACATCAGTTAATACAAGATACAAGAAGTATATAATTATATATTTTTATATAAAATATATAAACTCTATTGAAACTGTCATAATGTCTGTGTGTAGACAAGTGTCAGGATTCGAACTTATACCTTCTGGATTACATGTTCTATTGGTTTAGCTATTAAGCTTGAAATCCTCAACTCGCGAAAATCTCGACGTTTTAACTACAGCCTTTTTATTCCATTTTAACAATGCTTGGCGTTATTTAATATTATTCAGAAATAACCAGTGGTAAAAGTGTCTAACGTTCCCTTGTATAATCTTCATATTACACTTTCAAATGCAGAAACTACAATACTTTCTTCACGCCAATTCATTCCAAATCTTATAATATATGATGAGGATATTTTCTTACCGTATAGTCTGGGTAAATTAGAGACACTTTTATGACATAGTCTGTGTAAATGAGAGACACTTTTATGACGTAGCAATCCATATTATAGAAACTATTGTGCGGCAATCTGTTTTGGATTCCGTCATAACTGATACTGGTTTCGTAAACCTTCTTTTAATGTATTGTTTTATAACATTTTTTGTATTATCGTTAACAGGCTCAATTTTTTTATATTAGAAAGAAAGAAAGAAAATACATTTATTTACCAAAAAAGGAAAAAAAAAAACTAAAATTAATAAAAAAGAAATATCCAAAAACAAAGCCATTTTGCTCATTTGACTATTTCCGTTAAAAGTTAAAGTTTTATCAGCGTTGTTATGGAAATTAGAAGGAATATTTAAGATATGTTTTGATCCTTTTGCGTAAGTGTCATTAGTATACGCTATGAAACTAAGCTGTTACTCGTATCTGCGTAGTTTTACGTCAGGAAGATAATATAAAATTGATTTCCTTATCTTTCCTCTCTGTCACAAAACGCTACACATTTTTTAAACACAAACAAAGTAACTTAAAACAGTGACAAAACATAAGAAGCATAACAAATAAGAATTATTTTTAGAATTGGATAGAACTTATTAGGATCGTTCCTTTCCAATTACGTACGTAATAAAGGTTCACTTCTTTTTATCTTGGTGGTTGTGAAGAGTTCGAACGACTGGCATGAAAATACTGTAGACAATTAGAGCTTGGAAAAAGTTCCAAACATTTCCATTTTCTTTTAAGCTATAATTATTAATTTACTTATTTATATCGCAAATCTGGCAACCCTGGCTCCCAAGGTGCTTGTAGCACTGCTTAGTTTGGGATCCATTGTTTATGTTTTGTACTTTGATATTATTTCAAAGCTATTTTTTTACATGTTTTTGTAACTTATGTTTCTTTATACTAAGATAAATAAATAAAAAAATGGCAAAAGTCATGGCTCAACTCACCCGGTCAATATACAGAGGCCGGCTGATATTATGTGGGTCCGGTTGTTGGCGGCGTAGTTCACCCTGGTGACGACGGACCTGTTGCAATTGGGGCAGGTGATGCCCGTGGGCCCGGGGCCGATCTTGATCTCGCCGTCCGCAGCCGTCGGGGCTGTGGTGACGACTACGGTGCGGGGCTGCGCTGTAGGCGCGATCGGCGGCGGTGGGTGGTCGCCGAAGTACGAGGGCGGAGGCGCCGGGTTCGGCGAGCTGGGCTCGTACGGCGGCGGCAGGCCCATTTTGTTCTCCACTGGAATATATCGCGTAGTAGTTAGCAAAGTGGTAGGGCCACGCAACAGTTTTCACTATTGCACGAATGGGCAGGTCCGCCCGGGTAATTACTACGACCTCACAGAAGACCGGCGTAAAGTTGAAGTGTTACACTTCTGCGTTTCGTCTGGTGAATGAGGTAGCTGGGGCCCATGTATTCAAAGGTGTTAATGTATTTGCAACCCTATGGGTGTTGCAAATATCGATGGGCGGCGGTTATATATTAATATCAGGTGAACCGTCAACTCGTTTGCCGCTTTTTCACATAAAAAAAGAATGAGTCGGCGTGACAGTTTACTGTAGACTTTTAGATGTGATTTCCACCGCTCATGGACATTACTATACCTGATGTTTTGATAACCTTTTAAAAAGTCGGCCCTGGTTACCTTACTCACCAGACCAAACGTGAAAGTACTTCCACTTCTGTGAGGCCGAGGTACTTCTGCAGTCAAAAGTTTGTTCCTTCGCAGGAAACAGGATTTATATTCGGAATAATTATAGCTTAATAATATATATTTATTTATATATATATATATATATATATATATATATATATATATATACAGCGTGTCGTTACCATCGCGACAATAAATGAACACACATATAGGGGATAACTTTTTAAAGTTGTATTAAACATTTACATTCTTTAAACATCAATATTTACAGAGTTATTAAAATTTCCAAAACAAAGAATTTTAGAACACCCTTACCTATGAAAGCGTAACGTAAAGTTCATTTGTAAAGGTCACAAAGCATATGAATGGGTTGAATGAATTTAAAAGAGACAAAACATACTGTTAGAAGGAGAGGCTTATAATGCGGCGCTGTGGCGCGAGTTGTATAGGATGTTACAAATTTTGTTCCTTTTTGACTTAATTAGTTTGTTTGAAAAATATTTTTTTTAATTATGGATTTTCTTTAACGTTAATATTTTTTTATGATTATTGGCAAGTAGCGTTAGACGTGTGTTTATTTATTGTCGCCATGGTAACGACACGCTGTATATATATATATATATATATATATATATACAAGAATCTCCGAAATGGCTCCAGCGATATTCATTTATCCCTGAAAACAGTCAGGGAATGAAAAATATCATTCGAATATGACGGTAAATTTCACCGAGAAAAAAATGCTATAATAGCTCGGTCGGTAATCGGGCGGTCCCGAAATAGAAGGCACTTCATCATCATTTACACTTATTTTTTTTTAATTTTTTTTCTATACCATATCATTGCTTTCTTTTTTTTTTTAATTTTCAAAATACACGATTTACCAAACTAAAAAAACCGAGAAAAGCTCGGTCCTACAGGTACTGAATTTTAAAATGAACATTTTCCTTGTATTATTTTTATAACTTTATATATTATAATGGTCATATAATTTTTATCATACTACAGCTTTTGTTGAGTCGAATTGTTGGCTTACAACTCGACTTTTCCAAATAAAGGTATCAACTATTAATTGTTGACGTCTTTTAAACCTGACTCAACAGATATCTAAATTGAGTTCGGATTGAATAAAATCCAATTTCATAGAAATAATGTCACTCAGAAAAAATCAACTTATCATTCTGTACTATAAATACAGGTATTATTGAGGAGATACAGCTGTACAATTATGACCTGCATATGGAAAACAAATTGTTATCGAATAAAGTAAATTTTAATTTACTTTATTTTAGATACGTCTTTAGAATTCCTATTACTCTCCATTGGAAGTTACAGACTGCAAATTAATACTTCAAAGTTATATTTGAAGTTTTAGATGTGAAATCTCTTAGTTATCCTATCACAAAGAAACAGTTATTCTATCACACAAACACTGCATTTTTTTAATACAAATATTTTTCTAATTTCATTGAGTCGATTTCAAATAAAATACCGAAAAAAAGACGTAATAACAGTTTTGTTCAATAACACAATTAAATATTATCGATTTCCAGAAGTGTTGAATGTGTTCGTTTTAAACATAGACTATTATGATCCACATTTTGGGAGTTATCAATGATGTGACTTATTAAATGGCGGTGTTGTAACGCCTAACGATTACTGCCCGCGCTATTTAGGCCGTGACAATACTGCGTTAGGCAACACCGGGCAACATTAATATCGGTTATATCTCAAACTAACGTTTGCGCGCGAAGATGCTCGCGAAACTTTTAGTCTGCAAATTTTAAGAATAAGTTATAATAATAATACGTGATTGAATTTCAGTGATTTTGGATGTTGAGTTGTTTATTATTTGAGAAAGTGGCAAACGAGCTGGCGGTTCACCTGATGTTAAGTGATAGCCACCGCTCATGGACATTTGGAACACCTGTAGGGATGTTGATGATGGGTTGCCTTTACCTTTTAATAAAGTGGTTCCGGTTACCTCACTCACTAGACGAAACGTAGAAGTATAACAATTCCACTTTACGCTAGTCATCTGTGAGATCGCGGTACTTCCTCTGATCCATTCGTACAACTGCTAAGACTGTTCCGTGGTCCTTCAGTCCTAACAGTCTTGTCATTTTTGGATAGATAACACGTACTAATTGAAATTTATTACTATTTAAAATTAACTTATACTTAATTACATAGATTATGTGCGCATTCTACTATCTGTGCATTAATTTGTATATTAATTTGTTAATTAACAAAAAACAGTTAACTGGAAATACATGTTTTTGCGTCAAGGTTAGTAGGTTTAAAATTAATGTGTTATTTTAATGAAACGTTACACTTTGTATTGTATTTGTCAAAAACTATATTAATAAGGATAAATGTTTTTAAAGGATACTTCAGCATGTTGCACTAAAATATTAAATATATTTTGCAATAACTTTGTTTAATAGAAGAGAAGTTGTTCGATCTCATGACGTGGAACTTTTTTGTAAAGAACATTCCAATCTAATACATCACAACTTTAGTTATTTATAATATACTAAAGACTGCCTTATAATAAGTGCACTTACTTGTTGCGTCCATTATGATGAAATTTGACCTTCGCTCAGATTTCTTAATCCTGCCAAACTGATTCCAATATAAATACGTTCTGTGAATCTTTCGTTTAAGTCTCGTTATATTTCGATCACTATCACTGTCACTAAATGTAATAGGAATATTATTGTAACAGCCTAGTATTGTCACCTTTCCAATGTTATAAAACGAAAGCGGGCCGAGCGTTGCGTTGTTTACTTGGTGTACGCTGCGCGGGAGTGAATGCATTGAACCTGCTGTGCGCACGTTACGTTGCTTCGAGTGACAGAGTGTGCTGCCAAATGGTGTATGCGCGACAAGGATAGCCTCTGATGCGGTACAGCCTAGCTTAATCTTTTCCGCAAAGCGCTCGATTATCTTTTCGCGCCTGTTTTATTATAGAGGCAATCATTAGACAATGAGAAAAATGCGAATGAATTTTAATGTATATATTCATAACATGGTTCCCTCAATGTTGTCAAACATATTTATAACGCCTGGGAAAGGTCACAAGATGCAATAGGTGTCTTTTGTGACCTTTCAAAAGCCTTCTACAGTGTAGACCACAAAACTCTCCTTCAAAAGGTAGATTAATATTATGGAATTCATGATTTTGATTTTTTGATCGTCCTCAATCTCATTGCCTCTTACCTTAGTAATAGAATTCAAAAAGTATCTATAAATGATGTTAATTCCGCTGCGTCCCCGATGAAAATGGGTGTCCCACAAGGATCAATCTTGGGCCCATTATTATTTTTAGAATATATTAATGATCTCCCCTTTTTTGCCATTGGGTTGTGTGATGTTGTACTGTTTGCTGATGATACATCGCTAATTTTTAAGGTTGACTGAAATGTATTAAATTATGACGACGTGAATAGTGCACTTTCACATATCCTCCACTGGTTTACTATTAATAATATGGAAATGCCAAAAAACTAGATGTATTCTTTTTACCTTTTCCAGTATAAGAAATAAAAGTTTAAGTTTAATATTAAATAACGTACCCATTAATCCAGTTGAGTCTGCTATATTTCTAGGAATTACAATAGATTCAAAGCTACAGTGGAGTCCCCATATATCATCTCTTGCGAATAGGCTAAGCTCCACTGTTTTTGCGATTAGAAGGGTTAGGCAGCTAACAGACATCGACACTGCCAGACTTTAATTCAGTTATTTTCACAGTATGTTGTCGTGGGGTAGTGCATCTGATATAAATTCTATATTTATTCTACAAAATAGGGCTGTCCGAGCAATCTACAATATCGGAGCCCGAAATTCACTCAGAGATCTTTTTAAAGAGGTTAATATACTCACTGTTGCTTCTCAATAAATTTATTGTAATACGTTGTATGTACCTGATAACCTTAATTATTACCTAAAGAATAGTGACAGACATAAAATAAACACTAGAAATAAGGAAAACTTATTACGCCATTGTTTCATCTACAAAAAGTAAATAGGTCGTTCATGGGGCAAAGTGTGCGCATGTATAATAAAATCCCACAGTCGATATTAAGTCTGCCGCTTGACCAATTTAAAGGTATAATTAAAAGTCAACTTATGGTTAAAGCATAAATTATAATATTGCGGAATATCTCGACGACGCCAATGTGTGGAGTTAATACTGTTGATACTCACGTAGTCTAGTAGAATAAGACTATTATACCTGGGTGTTATATTGAAAACTGATACTTTTGATAAAGAGCAACTGTTGAGTTTCTTGCATGTCTCTTCTCAACAGAAACTGCTTTCCGAACCGGTGGTACCTTACGAACCTATATATATATATATATATATATATACATAATTTTTGATGTAAAATTTGACGATTCATAACAGTGCGTAAGCCTCTATTTGAATAAATATATTTTTGATTTTGAATGTGGTGTTCTGTTTTAAATTCCGAGCAACACCTACCTTCCTACCTTGTACAAAAGTGGGTAGTGGTTAAAAACTAAACGTCAATTTCATTCAGTAAATGAATGAAAAATTGCGTAATGCTATTGCCGAATATTGCGTAATGCTATTCCAGCCAGGTAGTGACTTCTATATATGCATTAATAGGCTGGCTATTACGACGAAACCGAGGAGCACCATAATTATATATGTTTTATAACTCAGTCCAATTAAAAAGTTTATGGGCCCGAGGTTTACAAGTCTACTGCAACTTTACAGATGTTGTGGTGTTCCATTGTGCCTGCGCTTATCATTGCGTATTTGGGCATAGGTGTTACACGCTAGTAAATAGTCCTAAACATTTTACATGAAATGTGAATGTGGTGAGCATCTTGCCCTAAACAGGCCATAAATGTGAGATTACTGGTTGAAAGTAAGAATACGGTGCACATTCTAGGGATTCATTTCAGCCATTGCAACCACTACACCATCGCGGTGTGATGCTAATTACTCCAATGTAAACGCCATCTGTTCCTGGCACCTTATAACTCCTCACAAAAATGACATAATGAACGCCATCTGTCTAAGTGTGCGATACAAGTTTGGGGCATTGGGAGACACAGGGCGGGCGGCGTAGCAGCCGGCACGAGAGGGCGGGTGTGAAGGCGGGCGGGTCCCGCGATGCGCACGCAGCATTACATAACGGCGGCAGAGGCCGGGGGCGCGCGCAGTTGGCGGCGCGGGACGCGGGGCGCGGGGCGATCGATGCGCACCCGGGGGGAGTCAGTCGAGCGGCGAGCGAGCGACATGGCGGCGCGCCCACCCCGCGCGGCGGCCCCGCGGCCCGGGCCGCGCGAGTAGGTCGCCATGCGCGATGCGGTATGAGGCAGCGCCGCGCCCGGCGGGCCGGCCCCCGCTAGCGGCGCCGCCCCCGCCATGCGAGCGCCGCCGCTGCTGCTGCTGCTGCTGATGGCGGCCGCGGGCCTGGCCGTGAGTCCGCTCGCGCGCCTCAACCCCTGGCTGAGCGCGTGCGACCTGGAGGAGGAGGGCGCGGGCGGCGAGCGCGAGTGCTGGCGAGGGCGCACGGCGTGCGGCGGCAGCGGCGGCGGCGGCGGCGCGCCCGAGCTCGAGCCCGTGGCGCTGGCGGGGCGCGACGTGCCGCACCTGTGCGCGCTGGCGGCCGGGGCACGAGCGCGCCGCCTCGCCGAGCTACGGCTGCGCGCCTGCTGCGAGCGCTCCCCCGCCTCCGCGCTCGACCGCGGCGCGCGCGCCGACGTGCTCGCCGGCGGGGAACGCTGCGAGCGCACGCTGCGCGATCTGCTCTCCCTCGACGCAATGGTCGCGCACGTGCACTGCGACTTCGTCAGCATCCTCGATCGCTACGACTGCGACCAGCCCTTTTCGGTTCACACGTGTTACGAGTGTCAGGTGAGTGCCGCTTTCCTGGGGTAATGTGGTCTCCTGTCGACTGTGTTGTATTCCGCTTCCATGTGAGGCATTTCAGTGCTAGATGGTAACGTCATACGAAAACTTAATAAGCTAAGACAAGTACACTTACATTATCCAATATATACTAACTGTTGTTTGTATAGAAAATCAAGCCAATTAACAAATGTTAAGAGTTGAAGTATTCATGCTAAAGCTTAGAATTAATCGGTTGAAACAAAAGAGGTACTGGTGGTACGTTGGGTTTAACTGACGCTCCACGAGCACACCGCGTGACTCGGCTCAATGGTTAGAAGGCTATATGCGTGTATCGATCCATTTGAGCATGTCACGTTCATTCTTTTCCAAGTCCAAATGCTGAAAAAGATATTAACACTATGGAGAAGGTAAATGTGCCCAACACTAATAATAATTTTGTATAAGTTCTACGTGCACCAGATCTTCAGAAATACAATTTAATTGTGGTCAATGATGAACGTGAACATTTTATTTAATAAATTGGAATTAGTTAATTCACTATTAACTTCCATATCTTAATTATGTGGATGCATTGATTTGGACGTTTTCCAAAGTGAATAACAGTTACAAAAATATGTATATACAGTCAAATTCACATTTTTATGTATTTTCGTCAGTTTTACTATATTACAAAAAAAATAATAGATGAAAACACTGATTATATACAAAGATATCACACTAGCGCACCAAAATTTCGGAACAATTTACACCAATTGGTGTAATTATATTGCAATCCTTTATACTGCTATCCCTTTCTATTTCATACGTTCTATATCATCTGTCACATTCACTTATATATGTCATATAATAAAAAGGAACAGTTTTTAAATGCCGCGCATGCGTCATCTATAATTATTAAAACATCATTGGATGCAAATAAATATTAATGACAATACCATTATATGGTATGTAACCGTACCCATCAATCAAAGAACAAAACCTTTCTGCTTCTACTAGTATCTAGCACTGCACAATTTAAATAGTTTCTTTTTCTTTAGTATAATATATTGTGTTTACTGTTAACATTAATCTCATATATATGTATTTATTTTTATTATTGTATTTTACACTGAGTTGCTTTAGATAACATACATGTTTATAGATTTATAGCTAATACTTTTGCATTATATATATGTTTATGTACATGTGGATACACAACTCGTACGAAACATTTTATTGACGAGTATGCAATTATCCATTATTTACCTGTAAAAAATTTAAATTAACAGCCTATAAATATCCCACTGCTAGGCAAAGGCTTCCTCTCTACAGAGGGTATCAGGGCATAGCCCACCACGCGGCCCCACTGCGGATTGGCGGACTTCATAATATGTTTTTTTTATTATTTTCAAAATATTCAGGTATCCTCACGATGTTTCCCTCCACCACTGAGCACGTGATAATTCAGCACTTAAAATTAACAATTTCATTGGTGCCGGCACCGGGGATCGAACTCAGGTTGCTCGAGTACATGGAATTAAAAGAAACGGACAATGAGCTATCATTATCCATTATTTACCTTTACCAAAATACTTTATAGTCAAAAATTAAAATCAGAGACAAAAGAGATGTTTATAGGTCCCTTGAAATAGCAATTAGCCACTTTTGTACTTTCCTTTTTTTTTCTTTCACAGATATCATTGTATATATAAATAATATTGTATGTACCTTGGTTGAAATGCCCGATTTTTAGGCGTAAAGGATACAATTACCTTACGTATCTTATCTTTGATATGCATTAAATTTCACTTTGAATACTCAAAAAAAATATTTTTAAGGAAAACAATAAAATAAAAGAGTTCACAAGATGCCTTTCTAACATTTGCTTTATTAGCGTCGTAGATTTAAAAATATATTACCAATTCCACGGTAGCAAAGTGCAAGCTATTCTATAACAGCCGGAATGCGTTTTAAACAAATATTTCCGCTTCCATAGGGGTCCGTTTAGTCGGGTGAATTGGCATCCGGCGAGCGGCGATGCCATGTTCAGTCTCCATTGTAGACGGCCCGACGATAGTTTGCTTGCAAAGGTTCACGATTACACTTTTCCGATATTTTTCTTTCGTAATATCAAGACGATGTTGTTTTTTCCACTAACTTCTACTTATTCTTTCTTCCGAGTCACTTTACTTGCTTGGTGAGTTTGTTCTAGTCTGAATGGTCTCCAGTACTTCAAGTCTACGAACCTCAATGCTACGAACTTATAATTTGTTTCTTTTCATTTGTTTCTTTTTCTTTTCTCTTATAAGAAGTATATTCGTATAAGAAGTTTATGTCAATTCTGAGGGTTTCTACCATTCGTCAAACTTCAACATTATGGTTTTGCTTACCTGATCTCCTTATTTTCTCTGCTCGTTCAGCTTACTTGGTAAAGGTCGTGTCCAGTTTAAAGGCGGTATGCCATCTTTTTCCAAATCTCTTTATCTCCTTTAAAGATCATTTTTTTTAATTTTCAAAATACATGATTTACCAAAGAAAAACCGAGCAAAGCTCCTCCAGTCCTCCAGGTACTACTTTATTTTATATCACAAAAAATTTAATACAGAATAGTACAAAATACATCTTAAAAAGTAAGGTTAAGTAGGAAAATTAAAGTAATGAATAGTGGGAGGTGGTGTGCTTAATAAACTTCGGTACTTGACAATACCAAAATAAACTAAACTATAGTAACCATACATTAACATGAATAAATATATTATACGTATAAATAAATACACGAGAGAAAAATTAAAACCGAATCCGTTGTTTTTTTGGAATATTAAGTAGGATAAAAAAAGAAAAACTAAAATTTACGAAGATAAATAAATATATGACAATTTTAACGATCACTATGCATATTTAATTTAATGGAAGTCTTTTGCTTTAGTTTTTGATGACATACACACGTATCAAAAATGTTTTTAATTCAGCGGTTTTTCTATGTAGAATTAGATTATACATTTTACTAAATTTTTGGTTGAATTGATTTTTAATGTCATATCACGCCAAAGAAATTAGCGATAGGGTGGCATGCTCCTAAGCACTTTCCTCGTGTTAGGATGTTGCCTGAGTCTTAAACGGTGGAAAGCTTTCAAACATTATCCACACCGTTAACTTCGCTAGAATATTTGAGGAAACAATGCCATTGAAAATAGTTTTTAAAGACATTGGCAGTGCGTTTATACAATATATAAACAATGACATTATAAGAAATTGAAAAAAAAAATTACGTTAACATACTGATTGTTGACGCTCAATGCTCGAACTACTTGATATTCGAACTCTTGAATCACTATCAGACCTTTAAATTGCATTAGTCAGCATAAAATTCTAAAGAAGAGCGTTCCGACTATATGCTTTTCTCAAAAAGCAAGCAAGAAGGAAAACGGGGTGTTTTTCTTCCTAATAAAAGCGTATCTGAAAATATAAAGGATCTCATTCGACTCTTAGATCAAAATAGTAGTAGGCAACTTTTCACATAAAAAAAAATAGTGAAAAAAACAATTTTTATTAGAAAACTTCTTCATTCGCCTTGCTACGCTCTTATACTTAGAATTCTTTAAACACTTATACTAAGATTGTGAACTCACACAAATACCAAAATATAAGTAGCCAACCTAGACATATATTGCTGTAATAGACCCTGAATACATTTTTTTACCCAGCGGATACCAGATGTTGGTAAAATTACAGAATAATATTTCTTACGATTTGTTCAATTTGACTGGTCATAGTTCTGGTGTCCAAAGTATCATTAATGTTTTATTATATTTGTGTAAATATAATAAAATATTAATTAACAAAATATGTACCATCATAGTTTGAAAATGGATACAAGAAATACCAATACCAAATTGATACCCAATATTTACTCAAAGGTAATTTTAGAAAGAATAAACTAGATACTAGATGAAAACTAGCTAATAAAACGTGGTGATTTCAGGAAAAACTTTTCGTCAATACGCTTCATCCATACAGTGAAACAAATTTTACAGAAGTATTTTATAGTAGTAAATAGTAGTATAGTATACAGTAGTATATAGTATAGTATATAGTAGTCGTAGTAGTATATAGTATAGTATCAATGACATGTTGCAAATCAGCAACATTCATTGCTATGCAGGCAATAGCACTGTAGACGTCTTGTACACTGGTCGTTCGAAAATTTATCGTCGTCGAAAATTATACGTCGACAACAGCCGGAAGCTTGTGTCTGAGGTCGAGTCTTTGTTAACCAAAGTCTCAGACTGGGGTCAACTAAACTTAAGCCAATTCAACAAAAAAAGATGCAAGTTTACGCTTTCACTGCTAACAAGTTACCATATTTTGTAGTAGCTTCTCATTTTGGACACTCCCCTGTTTGCTGCAGCCAGTATCGGAATACTTAGAGTCGACATTTTGAACAAGGTCTAGTTCTGCGGTCATTTGGAAGGTAAAGCCAAATTGGCCTCAAAGCAGCTAGATCTGCTCAGCG